TTCTTGGCACTAAGTATAGCTCTCTCCCAAAGGAGTTTCAGATTCGAGATCGTTTGAACGGGGAGCCTGCGTTAGCTAGCTGCTGAAACACCCACGACCAAGTATCCAAATGGCGTATACCCGCTTGACCAATCAAGTATCAAGATTCGTTGCGGCTCTTGACAGCGAAAACTGTTCTGTTTGTATTTAGCAATGAGACTTGTATCGTGCTCGACTTCGAAGACTGTTCTGCTCGTAGACGGGTTTCGCTCGCTCTTTTATACTCGCAAGTTCGCCGAATTCCTGGAATTTCTGTGACGTCAGAATATCTAAATTTTCATATAAATTCGTTTTTATACATTAATTATAAAATTGAATGGTTTAATTATACTTTAAATGTCGCTGTTTAATTAATGGCTAACATTTCGATATTAAAATAATAGTACAAGGGTGTTTTAGCGAAAAATACATTTTTTATCCTTTTCTAATCAATTACGCACGAATTCTACGTGAGCCGAATCTATTCCGATTTACAGCTTTTTTAGTTAAAGGAAATAATTTTGGATCCGGCTATGAATAGGTTAATACTGGTTGATTTTATGTATATAAATTGATTTAGTTAATTAATTAATTAAATATCTAATAATGCCGTAAATAGAAATAGTATCTCTATCCTTTTCTAGGATTAGCGCTGATCTCAAAGGATTTCGGACATATATATATATATGTACTGATTACCGACTGTCGAATTTGATAGATATGGTAATAGATTCCTAATGTACTGTCGGTAATTGCCTAATACTGTCGATAATAGATCTGAGGTATGGTATTATACAAAAAAGGGTTCCGCGGGACGTTACAAATGTATCTCACGCTTCGAAGTTTTTTATTTCATATAATACCGTTTAAATAATGACGATGCAAATCGATGGTAATTAAAATGCAAGTTTGATTACAGAAAGAACACAAATTAATAAATCTGAATACGATTAAATATTTCGCAAACAAATAAAGATTTGTAATTAGATACATTTATTTTAACATTGGATATTTTTACTAACGCGATGCGATGAAACAAGAAATTTATAAAATCACAATTTCCATCACTTTTGATGTATGTACAAAATTTATTGATAATCACTAGACAGCACATATTAATGCATTTATAATATATCACAGTCTGCAAAGTAAATATTGTAACGAGGCATATTTTCATTTAGTTGCTTAGCTTTTTTTCTGCTTCTATATTTGGCATTTAGGACCAACGTCCCCTTGTTGTCCACGATCCCTGAGAGGGCGTGCTCCCTGCGGACAAGCACTTCGGCTTTTCTTTTCTTTTTCTCTTCTTTCTTTTGTACTGCGTTTACCGTGTGCCCCCGCACCGCGAAAGCCTCCCTCGCAATTGGCGAGTCGATCCTTTTTCCTCGGCCGTTGCTTGTAACGCGTGAGGCCCACTATAGTTTTTTCTATTTTGCTTACGTGGCCTGCTTAGGGGCCCGAATAAAAAGCCTCTTTCTGTTGGATACGAACTTGCGGGTCTTTTACTCATTTTTTTTTTCTGACCCCCTCTGATTCCCGCTCTCGACAGAGCAGCCGGAAGGGCGATTACCGCGGACATGTGCATTGGCACTGGCGCCCCGTGAAATAAATCGGCCGTGGGTGTGAGCATCGGTACGTGGAGGGCCGTTTTCCCTGACTGCCCCCACTCCAGGGAATCTCCTTCGTGTTTCCCCCACCGATACGTCACAATATAAACCATGTAATCCATGGATCATAGATCCTTCAAATTTCATGACTTATTTATGCTTTGCAAATCTCGATGTGTCATAAATGCATAAACATCCGCAGTCTAATAATCACATTTAACTCAGTACCACAAGTTTTTAATTGAAATCTTATTATTTCATTAATATTCCAAGTCGCTGGATTTGTTCTAACTCAAACCGTCATTCTACACTGTCACACATTCTCGATGATGATGAAAACATATAGTCGAGTGTAAAAAAATCTTCAACGATTTTGAAATCGTGTAAAAAATGATTGTCAGAAAATTCCTTAACTATCATATTTACCGTTTCCAGCAACATGCAATGTTCTCACCTGACATTTTTCTCTATCATAAATAAGAAGCAAGATATTCCATACATACATATGCGCTCGAGATAAGTGAGCACCAATCGAAATAAAAAAGAAAAATTGCGAATACAAATTGATTCCATTACTACTTTGTTTATGTGCATTTTTTTTATCTTCTCTCATAAATTTTCACTTGCCTGTAGTAATAACTTTTACATATAATCAAAACTCAACGACTCAAAATTCGTTAATTCTAATTTTCCCACATCCTTAACATTTTACTTTACGACGAATCACATTTTTTGAAAGTAAATAAATAATTACGTAAGTAATTTGTTTTTTTCTGTCGTTAGAGCTGGAAATACAAAATTTCATTTTAAAATATTTCACAATAAAATACTACAATGATTGCCTGTATACGATGTCAGAAATGTATATAAACCCTATATTATTCATGGAACAGAAGAAATATTTACTTTTATAATGGTTTTACTACAAAAATTCAGTCAATTATTTTAGCAATGAAAACAATTCTCTTATCTTTCTTCTCTCATATTTTTTTGACCTTCTTTTATTAATGAAACAAATAATCACAATCTCGGAAAAATTTTCGAGAATTTTTTTCTTTTGTAAAAGTTTCTACAGTCACAGGAAAATTTTAATGATTAATAGCACTTTAGGACTGTTTTTCCTTGCTTCTTCCCCTCATTAGTTACAAAGTTACGAGCTACTGAAGACAAAATGACACTTTTTTCTCTGATAGTCTTTATCTCATGAATTCATCATCGAACAGAAATTTTAAGAGCGGTTTTAGAAACCTAAGAGTATACGCTCCAAGATAGGTAAATTGGTTTTTGATTAAATATTTCTCTTTGATGCGTGCTACCGATGTAAAGAAACGTCAAAAAATGGTATTTTTTCCTTAAATTACAAAAGTTACTATATCTTTCGAAATAACCATCACAAAGATTGAGCCTAGCAATTTTTTTTTAAGTTTATAGTGTTCACAAAATGTGTGCAAAGTTTGAAATCGCTCTAATTTTTTATTTTCTATGGCCCGAATGATCGAACTTCGAAATTTATGTAAAAAAGTTAAAGAAATGGTATTATTGTTTCTAATTATGACTACTCCGTTTATTGGGTAAAAAATTTTGTTTCTCTACATTCGCCGATACTGTTGCTGAATTTTTAAAAAAAAATTTGGTTTGAAAAAAAAATGTAAACAAATGTTTTACCGTCCGCTATCAGGAATAGAATGACCTAACAGATTAGGTATAACTAAAAAAATGAACAAAGTAAATATTCAGATATGAATGTTGGTCTACTAGAATGAAAAAAAATATAAAAATATTAAATGTACTTTTTTCGTTAAAATCAAATTGTCTTATTTCATCAATTCTTTTTTCACTTTCATTTTTATAAACAGTATTTATGATTTTTAAATCTTTTCACGTTGATGCGTGATGTATGTTAACACTTTTTGACATACATATTCTAATTTTTAAATTTTCTATCCCACCTAAAATTTTATTTAAAATATCAAATATTTTCGCTAACGTATGTTTTCATTTAAAATGATTTCATTGAAATCGTATGCAAGAATATGATAATTCCTACTTCGGTGCCACCTTGTTTCATTTTCATAAATAATAAACTGTTACGCGTTTCTCGCAAATCCGTTTGAACGAAATGTCATGTCAGTTTATAGTATTATACTACACCATTCCGCAGCTTTCGCATAATATTTAGAATATTATATCATTTAATTAACTGAAACATCAGAA